TGTAACTTTTGGGAGGAGAAAAATAATTAGTCATCTTAAATTTCATAGAACATGATTACAACATAAATAGTGGGGGATGACTCCCACATTAAAGACATAACAGAATCAGTCATAACTCTCCATTATGAAAGAAGGAAACATGAATTATGACATACCAATAATGTTAGATTTTAGAAATAGAAAAAAACCTAATAATAGAATATAATAAAGCAAAAACCTCCTAAAATTCCAACAATAAGCTTATATTTAAATGCATATGATGAGCATAACTCTACAGCTAGGTTTGGATACTTGATTTTATTATTGGGAAAATCCCATTTCAATGGCTCCCTTGTTATTTGTCTACGGTGGCCTACTTTTTTTTTTGGTAATTTATACCTCAACTATTGTCTTTTTATTTGTTTGGATACTTTTTTTTTTGGTAATTTATTTGTTTGGATACTTTTTTTTTTTGGTAATTTCCCTTGTTATTTGTCTACGGTGGCCTACTTTTTTTTGGTAATTTATACCTCAACTATTGTCTTTTTATTTGTTTGGATACTTTTTTTTTTGGTAATTTATTTGTTTGGATACTTTTTTTTTTTGGTAATTTACTCCTAGGGAAATACTTTTATGGTTATTCAGCGGTTCTTTGTAGATTCTTAGAGAGGATGTGGTTCCTATTCTAAAATGATTATTTACAACACCCATCCTATTTCCATGTAATATCCATTTGGTTTCTCCTTTTGCGGCTTATTGCCAATACAACTTACTATTTTTTTGCTATCCTATCCAAATATCCATTTTTGTTACATAAGGCTTATAAAAGGAATTTTGAGGCATGTAGAAAACAATTCTATACAAATATTAAAACTTTCATTAAATATAAAGTTTTCTTCTTTCGGGTTCCTAATCCTTGGTCAAGTAAGGTATTTGAGTTTCAAGAGAAGCGATAAAGTTCAAGCATGAGATTTTCTAAATGGTTTCTCTCTCTCACTCTCTCTATTTATCTATCTACCTATCTCACTTTCCCTTCTCTTATTTTCCTGCAATTGGTTGAAAGTGAACTGGTTCCTTTCATATCTTTTAAAATCTAACTCTTTTTCATCTGTAAATAGCAGATTTTTAATCTTCATTTATTACCTTCATTTTTTATTAGAAGGCTAAGGTCCGGTAATTAGAGTTGGATTTTTACCTGTTTTCCATCTCATTGCTTGTGTAAACAATAGTTTGTGATTACTGTTCAAAATGCACAATAACAAGGCCCGCAAGTCCAACTTTTGCCAATTTACAAAATAAAAAATAAAACACAATAAGGAGCATCCCTGACTTTGGGTTTATGAGGCATATGCCTTGGTGAGTCTAGGCCCACCTCAAGGCTTGCCTCTACACAGTTATATGAGGTGCAAGCCTCAAAATCTAAGATTTAGATGATTTTAAAATTTTAATTAATGAATTTATTGTATATAACAGAACATGTTTATTTATTTATTTTACACCAACATTTAAAACAAATAGAATTGAGAACTGAAATCGAGCGTATATCCATGTCTCCTAGCTGCATGATGCACTTGCATACGACACCACTTGCACTCACAACCACAGTTAAGCATGAGGAAAGAGAGAAAGCAACTCACCATAAAGATGATTCCAATGAAGACAAATTATAATCTTAGTAAATTAGACAAGTTTTTATTTTAAATTGAAAGTATAAAAGACTTATTGTTGTGATCTTATTTTGATTTGTTATGATCTTTCTCCAATATCTTTTTTATCTAAAATTAATATTAGTATGTTACTTATTATTTTATATTTTTTTTATTAATTTAATAGTTTTCGAGACTTATGCCACAAAGCAACACGCCTCAGAAATAGAAATATCTCAATGCTTGATTGCAAAATTGTAAGTCATATTTTCAATTAATTGATTGCTTCCCTGAGAGATTTGTAGGCTTTCTAACCCATATTAATTGCAATTGATGAGGTTTTATAAATAGACTAAATCTATATCGCATGCTAGATATGCATTCGAAACTCTTGACCCTAGAGTGCACTACATCAAATTTGTAATCAAAGCTTAAGCTTATATCACAATATCTTCTAAACACAGGGCTCAATATTAGAGAGAGTTAACCAATAAAAAATGTACAATATTAATATATCTACAACAACAATTCAACAAAATGCAACTTAATCAAAATAAATTTAGCATGGTTCTATGATAATTTCAGTACAACCTATAGGGATTCAAGGATAATAATTTGGCATTTGACAAAAGACATAATCTTGACGCATCTTAGAATCAATAAATAGGGAAATTCCTCAAAAGGCAAAATATAACTCATTTTCATAAGTAAATTTTCTACAAAATAAACAAGGCCTCCTACTTCAATTTGGCAAAATACTGTAAATAAAGTAAACTCTACTTATGTTGATAAAAATTTAAAATTTGGATCACATCAACCATCATCCATTTCCAAGATCAATTATATAATCAATTCAAGAACTGTTGAAGCAGTACGGCCCATCACTAAGTCCAAATCAATTCATAAAGATTGAATTACTCAAAGGCTGCTTACAAAAAACTTAACAGGTTATAATAACGTTGAATAAGACAAATTTTCAAGTCTTATTAGGGTCATTTAATTTTGAGCCAGGTTATCATATATTTTGATTAGGTTTTCTTATAAGGACGAAACATTCTTCTGGAAAATATTAGTTTAATTCATAAATATAAATTTAGTTGATTTTAAAAGCTTCAGCTGCTTCTATTGAAATCAGCCTGAAACTTTTTCAATATTATTGCTTTCAAATGGTTTCTTCACTTGCAACACAATTAAAAATTTTCAGTTGGGTTCAACTATTTTTGAATTTTACCTGAAATCCATAAGTTATTGATGAAACCTCACTGAAACTACAAGGTAGCTGAAATGTAAAATGATCAAACATGCATAAAACATGGCAGGCTACAAAATGTAAAACATGGTAAGCCACATGAGAGATGCAAAACAGAAGACATTTAAACAATAACTTCCAAAAGGACTCAAAAGCTCAACAAGACGCTTACTATAAAAATAATTATTCCAAGTTTAAAGCTTTAACTCCATAAAATTTAATTCACAACTACTTTTGGGAACGCAAAATCATAACACAGATCGGCGAAAAGATATTGTTGATGAGAACATTGATCAACATGTTTACAGGATATCAATACCTTGCCAGCTTGGAACAATACACCCTTTAGTGAAAAGGTTGTAACACATTTCACACGTAACTTAGTTGTCTGCTTGTCATCATAATTTAGAGAAAAAGCAGTATCTGCACTGGGTTGAGCACCCTAATCACCTCAACATACCAAAATTTGTGTTCAAACAAGTACTCTACTTTAGACTGACTCAAGTTCTCAATAACAACTCTTGTATTTTTTTATTTATTTATATTTTTTTGGTAATCATTCACTTTTCTAGCTAAGAGAAATTAAAAGCTAGAATCTTGCTCTTTTATTACTGTTACGAGAGAAGCCTTTCTTCCCTTTACATAATGTACAGAGGCAACAAAGTCAAACCACTGAAATCACCAATCTCTATTATATTGCTTGGTAAATTTTCACAGCAACTGTTCCCCGTCTCCTCCCTTCAAAAGGAAGAAGTTGGGGGCTTTACCGGGACTGAGTAGTAAAAGAACCAAATCCAAAAGTGATCTTCAAACCCAATTGTTCTCAGGAAAAAACCACAATATTGTATCGTTCAGAAGAGAAACCGATTTAATTTTCATTATGATGTGGAAAAACGATAATTACTTAAATATGTGCATATTGGAAAAAAAAGGGTCAACGGGCCTGATTTTACTATAACTACTTGAGATGCGTTTGCAAAACATCCTTTTTCAATTAGGTATGACTTTGACCATTCCTGCGGCCAGACAATTAGTAGATAAAGTAGATATATCAAGTTCTCGATACAAATCCCGAAATATCATTACTACAAAAGAAAAGGAAAGATTGAAAGCTCTGAATAAAAATTCTCTCATTCCGACGGGATTTCCAAACCATTTGACTATTGACATCTTACAATATACAGGATTTGTAAATAAAATAATAGATATTAAATGGATCAGTCTAAGAAAAAAGTTGATGGTCGTAGAATATTACTCCCGTCAGACATGATTCTAACGAATAGAAAAAAAAAGCAAAGTTCATACCAATTTTAACTCATTTTGCTGAAGTAAAATAAAGCACCTCATGCCCTATCTCACTCTTATCAAAAAAGGATTGGCAATTGGATTCTTCATATTTTTTTATTCTTCTCAATATCAATATGATATTCTTATTTATATTTTACCGATCACAGGTATTAATTAGGGAAAG